TACACATTCACGTACAACATAACATTAAACTAGGGCAACGTCTATGGAGAAAATTGGAACTCACTGCTACTCAAGTGCAACCTGTTACACTTTTTAAGAATACCCATCACAAGAATTTGAGCCACTGCCCAAAATATTTTGGTTAACATGGAGGGTATTTTGGACAATATGTGAGTTTTTTTTAGGCCTAATCACAGTTTGGATCAGTTCGGTTTGGGGATAAATCCCAAGCCGACCGGTCCCCACGGATTGGTTCAAACTGAAACCGAACCGATCCGTGGGGATATTTAATCCGAACCAAACCGATCCGTGAGTTAACGAATCGGATTGGATCGGTTCCCTGGATTGGGCTGATTAGGCCTTTTCAAACAGCCCATTCAATTATGGCCCAAATCAAATCAGTTCCCTGGATTGGGCTGATTGGGCTTTTCAAACAGCCCATTCAATTATAGCCCATTATCAGCATTCAATTATGGCCCATTAATAGCCATATATCAAACAATAGTAGCCCAGTAGCTCATTAGCATAAAAAAAAATTGTAAATCATCCAGAAGTGAAATCATCATCATTGGTGCCAGCAGCAGTAACTTCAAGCCTTGGAACATTAGTATCTTCTGCAGTTGTCATCTGCCAGGAAAAGAAATTGTTACAAAAAATTAGCGGAAGATTGCCATAAAGTAATTATAATCTACCTTCCCCTCCCAGTTTTGAAAATCAATCATCTAATGAAACAGAAGAAAAAATAAAAAAAAAAAAAACAAAACAGAACAGGAACAAATTAAATTTGCAACCCAGTTCACATACAATACCTAGAAAAAAAAATTGAAATAATATCAGTGTCAACTAAACCATGATCCCTAAAATTTGAACAAGTAGGCTATTGGCCCAGGTCGTCGTGTAACCTCTCCTCCCATGGAGAAGGTGAGGGTTCCAGTCCCAAAAGGGCCATTATAGGGTGTGTAAGTGTAAGCATTTACCTAACCAAAAATAAATATATAAATAAATTTGAACAAATATATAAATTAGTGAGATAATTAAAAGATTTCATTTACATATAAACAGAAGGAAGAAAAAGCTCAATGAGCATACAAGAACTTGTGATACTACAAATTATGAAATAAAGAACCTCCAGAACTAAAATGTTATTGCTTCCACAAACAGGAAAGAATCACTTGTTAATTGTAAATGCAATTAATATAAAAAATGAAAAACTAACGTGTTAAAAGTCAACAAATCTACAATTTTATTTTTATCTACAATTTCAAAAAATTTAATTCCCAAGAACAGGTGCAGAATATTAGAGAAGACGAATAGAAAGAACGCATCAAAGCAACTTTAACCTCTTGTTTGATTGCACATACAAGTTAAGGAATGAAACTTAAATTTTCCCTTTTTAAAACATTTTCTCAGCAACCAAACACTCCATAAACCAAGAATTCAAACCATTCGAAATTGCCATGACGATATATGTGTGTTTGCATGTGTATTGAAATGTATTCTTAAAAATTAAATTAAATTAAATTAAATGGAAGAACAAATGCGTGATATTTCGATTCATCAATCAAAAATCGCCTAAATTCTTGAATAAGGAGTATATATATCTATAACCAAAAAAGGAGGAAGAAAGATCCAGCATAAAAAATTAGAAATATGCATTTATACATATATATGTAGATAAAATCATAAAATTAAGTAGATCCATGTAAACTCACCAGAAAAGAGGTAGACCCAGTCGAAGAGGTCGCCGTTGCTTCGATACACCAAGGTCGTCGTTGCTTCGAATCAGGTGAACGATGGTTGAAAGGTGTTAGATTGAGAGATGAGAGATTGGGAGAGGCGAAGAGTGTCACAGACTCACAGTCACAGAGGCGAGAGATTGGGAGAGGCAAAGAGGGTGAAGAGAAGTGGCTCACTGGCTGAGTTAGTAAGGGAGGCGCAACTTGAAATGTCGTAATAAAGAGACGAGGCTGAGACGTTGAGTTAGGGTTAGGTTACCATTAAAAAATAATGAATAAAGAAAAAAAAGAAAAGAAAAAAGAAATAGGATATATCATTATATTGTATATATATATAATATATTAATATATTATTTAGTAACGGTTAACGGTTCGGTTTTTCTAACGGTTCAGATTGACAACGGATCAGTTCGGATCGGTTAACGGTTCGGATTGGATTTCTCAGGGTCCAATCCATTAACCAAACCGTGGACACCGAATTACAGATTTTTCAAACCATCACCGAACCATGAGATCTGAAAACCGAACCGAACCACACGGATCGGATTGGTTCGGACAAGATTGACGGATTATTTGCTCACCCCTAGTTTTTTTCTTTTTTATTACCTTGGTAAGAAATTCACACACACATTTTACTTTTATAGAGACTTAAATTCAAGACCTTGTACTTTGATAGGTACAAAAGTACCATTATGCTATAGCCCTTGTGGTATATTTGAGGTTTAGGTTGTTTATTTCTATGTTGTTTCAAGGGGTAAAACTGTGAAATCTTGGCTTCCTAATGTCTGGTTGAAATACTATTGCACTCACAGTAAAATTGCCTTTTTTTTTCGAAAATTAAAATAATTTTTATTAAAGAAAATAATTTACAGTTGGCCTTAGGCCCAAAATAATTACAACAAGCCCAAAGAAACAGCCCAACAAGCAAACAATTCCAACCCCAAAAAGTAACTGCCAGTAACGGCAATGACCTTGAAAATTTCAGTTCGGTGACCCTGTGAAAGTGGCCTTGCCGCCGTTAATCAATCCGGCGGCCAAGGATGAGTTCTACAATAAGACGGAGATATGTTCCAACTCATGAGAATGGATCTAGATGAAGAGCAATCATGGAGACATCCCAATTTTAGAATTGTTAATGTGTTTGGCGACTGATTTGCTATCAAGGGTAGGAAGTTTGGATTAGACTGCCAACCAAAGATTAAACTTCATCCTTGGTATGGTTGGGGAGTGCCAAACGAGGTTGTGCCATGGTACATTAGAAAGGACCCCAACCAAATATGCGACAGTGTTGCTAAATGAGTACATACCAGAAGGAGAAGCTGTCCACTTCTTTGTGTCCATTGCAGATGTGGAGGGATGAGGGAGGCTGAGTAATTCAGAAATGGCAGTGGTGATAGAGATGGGGAAGGCCCAATTATCATTGACAATGAAATTGTCAAGTGTTAAATCTTCTTGAAACCCACCCTCAGACAGTAAATTAGCTGGAAACCTAGAGCAAAGAGGTCCTCCCCGAGCCCAATTATCCCACCAAAATTATGTAGTAGCACCATTACCAATGGAATGTTTTATGAAGGCCCTAGCAGAATGTCTTAGTTGAAGTATTTTTCTCCATCTCCAAGAGCATAGTTATGGAAATTTTAGAGTCCATAAGTTCCTGTCTTTGAGTAGATGGGAGTGGCATCAATTGACCAATAGTCTATTAAAGCAGTCAATTTGGAGATCCTAAATGAATCTCAAAACCCCAGCCCTATTAGCAATTTCCAAATTGGGGATCCCCAAGCCACCTGCTAATTTTGGGGTACAAACCTTACCCCAAGCAACCTTTGAACCTGAAGCTTTCATCTCTAGACCTGACTAAAGAAATTTTCTGAAAATCTTATCCAACTCATCAATTACCCCCTTAGGAAGGATGAAGATATTGCACCAGTAATTTTGGGTTGAGACCAACACTAACTTGATTAGTTGCAATCTACGTGCATAAGATAGAGACTTTGATGTCCAGTTAGCAATCCTATGAGTGATCCTACTTACCAGTAAGATGCAATGTTGAGCTTTTAGGTTAATAAAAATGAGTGGCACTTCTAGATATCTCACTGGGAGTGTGGTTGCCTGGATGCCAAGTAGTGATGTGATCTCACACTGAGTGACATCATTAATACTAGAGAAATACACCGCATTTTTGGAGAGGTTGATGTCAAGGCCAGACATTGTGCAAAAAAAATCAAGTACAAACTTTAGGACTGAAACTGAGCAAATGTCTCCATGGCAAAATAGAAGTAGGTCATCTGCATAGGAAAGATGTGTGATTTTTTGTTCTCTGCATTTCCAGTGAAACTTGAAAGATGTAACTCTTCCAACATAGTTGTTGACAATTGAAGAAAAAGCATCCATGACAATTACAAAAAAGAATGGAGAAATGGGATCTCCTTATCTAAGGCCCCTCTTTCCCTTGAAATACCCTTGGAATTCACCATTCAAGACAATGGTGAAGGAGGGGATGAGATACAGGCTTTGATCAATGAAATGAATTTTGGAGGATAATTGTGTAGGGTTAAGTAACTGATAATGAAATCCTTCTTAAGGTCCACCTTGATGGCACACCTTGTAGGTTTACCATGTCTGTGATACCCTCTAAGCAGGTCATGTGCTGCTTAGAGGGTATCACAGACATGATAAGTGTAACGGGTGGGCACTTACACATTTACCCAAAAGCTCGAACTGTTAGGTAAGGCTGCATACCCACCCATTTATACCCAATCTCTTTTCCATCCGATTCCGATGTGGGACAAAATGACCCTTGTTACATTCTCCCCCACCCAAACTCGCAACGCTCTCGTTGCGGTTGGGCCACCCTGCCTACCCGGGTGGACTCACCCGGACGCCTTCCGGGCCGGGCGCTTGGCGTGGCACCGGATCAAGGACTGGATTTGGCTCTGATACCAACTGTAATAGGTGGGCGCTTACCCATTTACCCAAAAGCTCGAACTGTTAGGTAAGACTGCATACCCACCCATTTATACCCAATCTCTTTCCCATCCGATTCCGATGTGGGACAAAATGACCCTTGTTACAATCAGCCTGTAAGGTGTAAAACCGTCTTGATAAAAAAATAACTTGCACCCAATTAATTTGCTTTCATGCTCTCTCTGTACCAGAAGCATCTAGTGATGCATCTAAGTTGATCAAGCTTCCATTGTAACTATCTTGAATTAGTGGTAAAAAGTAGCATCTACTACATCTTACATAAATTAGTTACATTTCGCCTCATGAAAAGACCTTATTACAATACTTAAAAACATTCCCTAACACACACACACACACACACATCTAAATTGGACCTCTCAAGCGTTTCCATGTTACATAGGTAAGAAATGGTTTTTCAGGAACTGGTATGCACTTCACGACCCAAGCAAGAGGCCAGGACATTGCTGCTAATACAATGCACAAACCCCATTGTAGCCAATCCAACCTTTTCGTATTCGCAAATTTGTGTAAAAACTCCACCATTATAACCTGAAGAACAACAGTTACTACCACTATCCAAAGAAACAATCGATTCTTACGCAACCCTTTGAAGACATTCTTCTTCTCCATTTTCCTAGCATTAAACTCGTTGAAGACCTGGCAAAGAACAAATGTGTTGAAGATAAGGGTGTTCTTTATCTTTAAGCTCATATTGAAGATAGACTGTCCTTTAAATTGAAGTATCAAGAGGATCAAGATTTGATAGAGTGCTTGAGAGATGAGGTTCCTCCACATGACATTGGTCACAAGTGGCTCTACTCGACCCACTGGCTTCTTCTCCATGAGTTCATCACTTGGTCTCTCTGTGGCCAGAGCCAGAGCCCCCAATGTGTCCATGATCAGATTAACCCACAACAATTGGACCGTTGTTAGTGGGACTTCACCAGCAGAACATGCTGCAACGAAATTGATCACAAGGGCGGCAACATTGACAGTGAGTTGGAATTGAATGAACTTTTGGATGTTGTTATACACACATCTCCCCCACTTCAATACAGTCACTAGTGTTGTGAAGTTGTCATCCAAAATGACAATGTCTGAGCACTCCTTGGCCACTTCAGTGCCTTGAATGCCCATAGACAGTCCAACATCGGCTTCTTTTAGAGCCGGTGCATCATTTGTGCCATCTCCTGTGACCGCGACAACATGGCCTTTCTGCTTCAAGCACCGGACCATTAGAAGCTTATCGAGTGGGGAAGATCTTGCCAAGATGCGAATTTTTTCAACTCGGTCCATCCTCTCTTCAGGGGTATAGTTACGGAATGTTTCACCTTCTACTATTACTTCACTGTCATTAATACTTTGATTTGATCCAAGTATCCCACACTCAATTGCTATAGCTCTTGCAGTGAAAATGTTGTCACCAGTGATCATCTTTATCTTCACTCCAGCTTTTTTGCAGACTTGCATAGCTTGTCTCACACCAGGCCTACATGGGTCCTTTAAACCCACTATGCCTAAGAAAATCAAGCCGTCTTCGTCTAATTTTAACTGCATCTTTCCATCATCAATGCAATGTGACACTGGCTCTATAATTTGTTTATGAGCAAATGCAATACATCGAAGGGTTTCTGCTGCCAAACCTGTTAAGAGGATATAAATATTAAAGTTATACCTTTCTGCAATTGCTTAAATTATTAAGAGTAGTTGATAGTTAATATGATATCAGAACAAGTAAGGTCCTGAATTCAAATCTCACCGTCACTCTAATAATAGAATTAAAACACGTTTTAGATCAAAAGAATGTCACACATGGGAGGCATGTTAGAGGATAGAAAAATTGAAGTTACATCTTATCTAATAGCTTGAGCTTTTAGAGTAGAAATTGATAAACAATACCTTCAATTATTCGCTTGATCTCATCTCTCTGGCCATCATCCATGGGTTTGATGATGCCGGACTTGTCGTAGTAACTTGAACACATGGCTAGTATCATTTCAGCCGCTCCTTTCCAGTGGACATGGAAAGTATTGTCAATCTTACACTTTATAAGAACCCCACTTCGTTTCTTTTGCGAATTAAAGGTCTCCACATGGGAGATGACATAATTTTGTTTCAATTCTTTGACATTCATGTCTAATTCTTGGACAGCCCAAGAGAGGATAGCTTTCTCTGTTGGACTGCCAGAGTACTCTGGTTCAGACCCTTTGGTGGCTTTGTAAAGAATAGCAGTAGTGTTCTGGCTCACTCCTTGGTGGAGCAATTCAAGAACATTAAGGGATACTATGTCCCTAAAATTTCCTGTAATGTGATCTTTGCCCAGCACAAATTTAGTCACCATCATTTTATTCATGGTAAGTGTACCGGTTTTATCGGTGCAAATGATGGTTGCTGAGCCCATTGTCTCACAGGCCGAGAGTTTCCTAACCATTGCTTGATCAGCCATCATTCTTTTCATGGAATAGGCCAGAGTGAGTGTCACTGCCAACGGCAAACCTTCAGGAATCGCTACAACAATAATTGTCACCGCAGCTGCTATAATGCGTACCATGGCATTCATAACATCGTCAAATTGGGTCCTTCTACCATTGAATTCTTGATATCCATTCTCATCTTTTGTATTCCCTGTGAAATAACGAGTTAACAACACAAGAAGAACAAGAAAAGCAACAACCAAACCAACCTTTCCGATAGAGGAAGTTAATTTGCTGAGTCTAGTTTGCAGTGGAGTTTGCTCTTTTGAGTCCTGGCTTATGGAACTCATCATCTCACCCCACAGAGTGTTCATCCCCACCGCAGTGACAACCATCCGAGCATGCCCATTCGCTATCTTGGCTCCGGAAAATAAGAATGGATTGACATTCTCATCAATTTCGACGTGGTTGCTCTCTCCTGTCATGCTTGATTCATCTACTTGTAAGGAATGGCCATTTAAGAACAACCCATCAGCTGGAATTTGATCTCCAATCTTCAAATTCACCACATCTCCAACTAAAATATCAAATATGGAGATTTTTTGAGGCCTCCCTTTTCTTGTGACTTCAACTTGGATATTGTTACTAACTTTAGACAATTCATGAAATTGTCTTGATTGCCTGAAGTTAGTCACTGCTGATACAGTAACAACTAAAAAGACCGCGAAAGTTATGCTCGAGCCATCATACCAACCTTCTTTTATCCCATTTTCTTTAATACCAAAAGCAAGAGATAGAGTTGCACATACCAGTAGTATAATAATAGTGGAATCTTTAAAGGCTTCCAACAAGAAATGAAGAAAGCCCTTTGGAGGTGGCCTGTGGTAAGTGTTTGAACCAAAGGCCTCGCGTCGCCTTCTCACATCTTCATCATCCCCATGGATACCATTATCAACATGACTTCCAAGATTTGTCACAATGGCTTGTACTCCTCCGAGTTGGCGAAGAAGATCAAAACTCTTCTCCTTCACCATCTTCACTAGGCTTGTTGGTTCCACATGGTAGTGGTGATCATTTTGATTGCTTAAAGTGCGATATTCAATGCTTGGATTGACGTTGACAATGGTATGACTTGCGTGAACTACAATTCCCTTGGCAAGAGAAAGTAGAGCGCGGGTAGAATAGATTACTGCAAAAGCATACCGCCATCGCCTTCCAGGCTTTCTGAGCTCAATGGTGGCGGGGATGTCAACCACTAGTGCAGGCGAATCACGGGAGGATAATGAACGAAAAAGGGGCTTGTTAGGAATTTTTGAAGAAGTAGGAAGTGAAGACAACATGTTGTAAGGAGCAACAACGTAAACTGAAAAATGAAACTTAATTGCTTATGCTTGCAAAGACTTGGTTCTGTGATGTAATCACTTCCTAACATGCATATATAGACGTTTTTCCAAAAGTCGGTCGTCGGTGTCCTCCTTGGTTTTTTCCTAGTGTTTTCCCAAGCAAAGCTTTGTTATAATTCTCTAACGTGACTCGTAGAATTTTTTTTTCAAAAAATGTATGCTGTGTTGGATAGCTTTGAAATTAAAATTAAAAAAAGAATTATTTTAAAATCTGAACTACCATGTGTAAGATTATTTATTTAATTGTGACCCACATGATTTGGACATGTGACATATTACTTGGTCGCTAAGTAAATAGATATCAATTAATATTATTTATTTATGGTCAACTTATAAATTACCTTTTTGGTAATTACTTATTGGAGAAGTATTTTCCTTTCTTATTTCTTACTTTGATGGAACGTAAAATTATATTACTAAAAGGAAAACTGGTCCTCTCTCTGCCTTTATAAAAGTGCATATATTCCATCAATTATGTATGATTAACAATACAACACGAGAAAGTTTTATGTGTGCAAAAGGCCAAGAGAGAAAAACCAGTTTCTGTCTTTGCCTGTTAATCAGAGTTGCAGATTGGTTCGTGGTTAAAAGATCTGGACATTGAATTTAATCTCAACAAGGTTTGATATTATGAATAGAGGTATGTATATCTAACTATATTTATTTATGCGTTATAAGGATGTGAAATTAATTGAAGTTCTAAAGATTTAGGAATTTATGATAATTTGTGGTTAATGTCTAACACAAATTAATCAGAGTTTACATGTGGTATCAGAGCCAATGTTTAGGAACTCATTATTTTCCTTTAAAGTTGCAGAAATAAAAGTAAAATCAAATTATTGTATAATATATATGTATGTATCCGAATGTGCTGATGTAATTGATTCCTTTAATAAAGCTTTGTCCACCATTGATTAATTAATATGGTTTTACATCTTTTATGTAAATTATTGTAAAGGAATTTAGTTTTGATTAGTTTCTCAATTTCCGTAAATGATATGAATTGAAAAGTGTTTGTTTAGTTTATTATTTTTTTTAATGAAGTCAATCTCTCTATCAATTACAGTTTGATGATTATACAGATTATATTTTATTAATTATTTGAAAATTTAATAAATTATTGATTACACAAAATACGTATATTTATTTATTTTATTAAAAATTTAAATTTCTAGAATAATGTGTTAGTTTAGAAATTTAATTTAACTCTAATGGACACGCAAATAATAAATAATTATTTTATATCCATACATACATACATGATGGAGAATCAATTTTAAATTGATTTAATTATGATCTTCAAGTCTGAAAATAAAAATAATATTTTATTATGTATATAAAGTAAAAAGATATTTTTATTAAATTTTTGGACTATTAAATTTCTGGGATCGAATCTATCTATCTAAACTTGCATAAATCAACATGAGTATGTGTGTATAATGTTAAATGGGTAACTTAATGATGAATATGTCACTAGATAATTTAATATTCATATTATATGAGGGTTAGTAGCTACCAAAGTGGCCTAACTATGATGATTGATAAATATCAATTATAATAGTAAACATAGTTAATGATTAATTAATTTCTGTCTAATTTAATATTCATATTATGTGAACATTAGTAGTTACAAAAGTGGCCCAATCATAATGATTGATGAATATTAATTTTTGTAGTAGACATAATTAATCATAAATTAGTTACTATCTAATTTAATATTCATATTATGTAAATGTTGGTAGCTACCAAAGTGGCCTAACCATAATAGTTGATAAATATTAATTTTAGTAGTAAACATAATTGCAATATTTCATGAATTATGATACTTATTATTTTTTGTGATATTCATGAATATTGAGTTTATTTAATTATTAGAAATAATTCTCCAAAGGGAATTGATTTTCAAATGATTAAATGAAAATTAAGGGATTGCATGTTTTTTTTAATTAGGTGGATATAGGATATCCAAAGGTAACTTATCTGTTTAATTAAATAATGCATCACTAATAAAAGTATACATATAAATACAAATAAGCATCATTATTAGTATTTTATAGTTGCCACCCAAAGGGGTACTATAGTTATACATTGTATTTATATTTTTAAGTTATATAAACGTGTTGTTAATTCAAAATATTATTGTCGTGAGTATTTTATCTTATTATATCTCTTAATGCGCATGCTACATCTGTTCTGATTCTCAATAGGACTAACTTCTCATTATGGAATGAGTAAGTTGAGTTCAAAATTTAGATGTGTTAAATCTTGATTTAGCATTTTAAACTGAGAAACCTACTGTTATTACTCATAAAGACAGCGAGGGAGAAAAGATTCTCCATAATGTTTGGGAGAGATTGAGCAGATTAAGTATTATGATTATGCGAATAATTGTTTCCCATAGTAATAGTGCTAAGGAATATTTGAATAGAAAAATATTTTCGTATTGTAGATAAATATCTAAAACGAAAATTATAAATTTATATCACTACTATGCAATTTTGTTGGTACTCTTACCATGCATGAGTATATTCTTAAGATGACTAATGTTGTTACAAAATTGAGAACCTCAGGGATGATTGTGAATGAGAAATTTCTCATTAAATTTATTCTCAATTTCTTATTTATTCAGTATGGGTCATTACAAATTAACACTATTAAGACAAGTGGAAAGTGATTTAATTGACTATTATGTTAATTTAGGAGGAGACAAAACTTAAGTAGTAAGGTAATCATTATATTCATCTGATCACTCAAGAAGTTATAAATAAATTTTGGGAATAAGCCTGAACAGGCATTAAGTGAGCAACACCCAAAATTAAAAGATTTAGGTCAATCTACTAAAAGAAAGAAATGTAATAATGTAAATGTATCATTAATGTATTGAACACTTTTAGAAAAATTAAATGAAATATAAAGAATGATTCGAAAAATAATGGTAAGTTTTTGGCTTTTATATATTTCGAATTACTTACTGAAATTCTTTCTAATACATGATAGGTTGACTTAAGTACTAATGCTTATATTTCTAATAGATGCAAGAATTTCATATGGCCTAAACCACAAATTCAAATAAGAATTTCTTATTTTTGATAATTGAAAAAAAGTTTTGTTGAAATCATTGTGACATTATGTTTAATGTTAGACAGTGGATTTTATTAAAATTATTTTTAAACTTTTTACGTTTATTCAATTTCCCATAATTCGATTTTATTTCAAAACTTTATGTTAATGGTTTTTCATTTAAATTTGATAATGATGTTTATTCAAGAAATTCTAATTTGTGAGTTATGGTATTATTATTGATGAGTTCTGTAAATTTAAACTTGATAGTTTATTTATTAAAAACATTTTGATTTTGCATCATAATATTAGAATTAAGCGTAACTCAATTAATAGAAAATTTATCTTTCTTGTGGCATAAAAGACTAAGTCAATATCTAGTGAAAGGTTAGGAAAATTAGTAAAGGATGTGATTCTTCTGAATCTAAACTTTACTGATTTTGGTGTGTGTGTGTAAATTGTATTAAGGGAAAATTACATATAAATGGAGTCAAAGTTCCATATTTACTTAGAGACTGAGTCAAAGTTCCATATTTCTCTAAAATGGATTGCTGAGGTGGCACATGGTTTTTTACTGTTTAAAAAATTGTGGTGCCTAAAATGCCCTTCCTTAACAAAAAAGTAGTACCTTCAGTTCAAAAAAATAGTACCTTCAGTTCAAAAAAGTAGTACCTTCGGAGAAAAAGTAGTACCTTCGCGGGTGTTTAAAAAACATGGTACCTAGACGTCAAAAAGTAGTACCTTCAGTTCAAAAAAGTAGTACCTTAGAAGAAAAAGTAGTACCTTCGCGGAAGGGTATTTTAGGCACCATAATTTCTAAACAGTAAAAAACCATGTGCCACCTCAGCAATCCATTTTAGAGAAATATGGAACTTTGACTCAGCTTCTAAGTAAATATGGAACTTTGACTCCATTTATATGTAATTTTCCCTTGTATTAAAGGTAAACAAACCAAACACACAAAGAAATGAGCCACAATAAGTATAGGGCTTCTTGAAATTATTCATACAGACATTTTTAGACCTTCTAATGTTCCATCTTTTGGTGGAGAAAAGTATTTTATTGCCTTTATAATTAATTTTTTTACGCTATGGATATATCTATTTGTTGTATGAAAAATCTCAAGTAATACTCTTGAAGTATACATAATTGAGGTTGAAAGGCAACTAGATAGAAAAGTGAAAATCATAAGGTCATATAGAGGTGGTGAATATTATGGGAAGTATGATGAAATGGGTTAAAACTTTAGCCGTTTGCTAAACTCCTTAAAATGTATAGCATTTATGTTCAATACACTTTGCTATATATGTCACAGCAGAAGCGTGTAGTTGAAAGGCGTAATCGTACTCTTATGGATATGGTTAGGAGTATGTTAAGTAATTTCTTGTTACCCATAATATTATGGATATTTAGTAATCTAAAGAGTACAAGTTTTACTGTCATAAACATAATACGATAATTATTGAAACCGGTAATGACAGATTTATTAAGAATGGTGAAGTCAGTGGGAGTGATAAAAATAAGAATTTGATCATTCCAGAAGTTAGGGTACAAATCTTTTTACCAATAACTTCTAAGGAAATAATTGTTCCTTCAGTTGTTGAACCGTATAACAACGAAGAACAATTAAATGATCAACAATTCTATAATGAGATTGTCACCAATGAATAGATTGTAGAAGAATCATAAGGAATAACATTAAGATGATCTCAAAAAGAAAGGAGGTCTGTTATTCTGGATGACTATGTGATATATCTGCAAGAATCTGATTTTGATATATAGTGAGATATATACGAATCCGATTACATATTCACAAACCATTAACAGTAATGATTTTACTAAATGAATTGGTGCCATGAATGAAGAGATTATAAAGAAACCTTCTCTCCAATATCTAAGAATGAATCTTTTAAAATATCATGGCATTAG